CTGGACTCGGATTCATCCATGGCGTCGGCTGTAGTAACAATGATTGACTCTACTACTTCTAGCATATTGGCCTCACTTATATCCTCTGGGTCTGAAATCACTACACCGGATCTAGTTTCAGCGAAAAAAGTATAAGTCCCGGTACTACAAAACAATTCTGTTCTTCAGAAAAAGAAACATATCGTTCGGACATTTCTTATGACAAATTCAACACTAACTGAGTCTCATAGGATTTGATAGTCAATAGACAAAAAATACCCACTGAGAAATACCTTCATTAATAATTAACAAATAGTTCATTCCTTCCTAGTAGAAAACTGTTCAAAGTGCATCCTCGCCAAAAAATATCTCAAACTATGCCTCTTAAGATTTGTGGAATTGGTTTTTTTTGAAAAAATTCCCATGAAGATTGTTATACAAAATTTTCGAATTATCGAAGAAATTGGTGTTAAAAATTAGCCAATGGTACCCGCATTCAGTAAAAAGAGAAAGTAATCGATTATATTATAATTATAATTGCATTTTTAGCGAAATTACATTTAATTATGAGCAGCAATTTTAATAAAAAATAATCAATCATAATTGATTAAGATTTTTCAGAAAATCGCTTATAATCTCTTATAACCTCTTAAAATCTTTTATTGTCTATTATATTCTATAATAACAGATTTTAATCCCTTTCTCGATCAAAATATTATTTCACTAGAAAAATCAATTATAATGGAATATAATTTAGCTATCCTGCATGTGAAAATCAGTAAGAAGTAAGAAATCAGTAAGCAGTAAACACTAAACAGCAAGAAACTTAACAGTAAACGGTAAACAGTAAGAACGTGAACAGTACGCAGTAAGAAAAAATAGCTATTGAAAATCACGCAAAACAAAACAAATATGAAACAAAAATGAAGAGATGATGTTTGTTGAATAATAATGGAATATACTCGATTATAATGTTTTTTCTTGTTTCGAAAAACAGCAACATTATAAACCAATTTTAATCGATAGTAGTCAATAAAGTTTATGCAGACTGACAAAAAATTCAATATAATCTATTATTTTTTCTTTTTACTGACTAGGGTCGCCTTCAATCACCAGGTTGCCAACGATAGTGGATGATGCCCTCAAACGCATCAGTATATGGTTTCTTTTGAAAATAAATGACTAGCCATACGGCGGACACGGACTGTAAAAAAATCCAAACAATTCGTAGAAGTAATATAACCAAATTAACAGTTGATGCTGTTTGAGCTTACCTGTTTTTGTTTTTCCAGAAACTAACAAGCTTAAAACAATCTTGTTTACAAAGTGATTTAAATTGTCTAACTCCAGTTCCCCCATAATTAAAAAAATCAACCATACGTCGCGTTATTTTTGGAAAAATGTTATTTTAACTGAAACTTACGTCGGCAAATTTTTGCGTCTATGGCTCCATAAATGGAGCGACGTACTATGCTCGCATATTTTAGTTTAACCAGGGACAGATACCAGGTAAAACCTTACGTTCCCCGGGACAATAAGCAATCTAGTGGCACAGCAGTTGATCAGCGCTTCAAACGCTTTTCCCTCCTAGTTTCCGAGAACAGGAAATATTGATGAAAAAAATTAAATGAGATGACGAAAAACAAAAAAAAATTAATGAAAAAGTAAAATAATAAAAGAAAAATTCCTTTTTTTTCAATTAATTCGTCATTTTCCATCCAAAAAATTTTTCAAATTGTTTTTAAAGTGCAAGCGGAACATTCAGAGCCTTGCGTTACTATACCAACAGTCTTCATCAATAGATTTTTGATTTTTATTTAAGCAATTTGGATGAAAGTTCTGAACCATTTTAAAGATCCGGAGCTCAAATTTGTTAATTTGTCAATTTTTGTAAATCTTATAACACCACGCGTAAGCGGGATGTTAACGCATTCTAAATTGTGACCAATATAATTGGTTACTGTGCGAGTAGCGACTAATGTTCCGATCATAGTCTTTAAAAACTCCATGAAAAAAAAAACTTTTTTTTTCAAATTAGTGTAGTTTTGTTCTTCTACGTGGTGTGAAAAACGAACCTGACGAACTATAGTTTTGGCATACTTAACAGTCATAGTAAATTAGGCAAACATAACAACAGACTCTGAAGAAAAATGACAAGAAAAAACATAAAATCAATTTTTTTGCAGAAACTTTATTTATTTTGCAGATCATTTTATTTTGCAAAAAAAAAACAAAAAATCATTTTAATTTACAAAAATTTCATTTTATTTTGCAGAAATTGTTTTGAAAATATGAAATTTTAGATTCCTAGAATGTCATTTAAATTGGAATTTTTGAAAAAAAACTAATTAACACGATAAAAATTGAAAATAAGCTTTAATAAGCTATTGTAAGTGGCCTAAATTAAGCATAAATAAGCGCGTTCGCATGCTTTACTCGCTTGAATTTCAATTTGAACGATAAATCAAAAAATTCAAATCAATTTTTTTCAACACTGTTCTGAATTTTTGTTCGAATCACGACTGAAAGAGCTTTTATAATAATTTATCGCTCAACTCTCTCCGATGATTATATGTGGCAGCTGATTTTGCGTGAAAAACAAAATATAAAATAAAGATTAGAAAAAATTACAACACATCCGAATACAAAATTCCTCTCCACTTTTCAAATGATCGGATCAAAAACAAGGCAAACCATTTGTTTTAGTTTTTGGGACAGGTGCTGGTTTGGGACAACCCATTTTTAGCTCATATTAGCGTGTGGGGAAATAAATTGAAGAATTAAAAGATAAAAATGTGTTTTTTTTTACTATTTCGCCAATTTTTACCATTAAAAAAAAGCTTAAATTGGCATGAAAATCAAATTGGAAAATTCAGGGCTTCTTCCAGATATACGAGCAATTTTTTTTATGCCCTAGCTGTATTACTTGACTGGTTTATGAGAAATGTATTCCTATGTTTTTTATTTGATCAATCTTTTTCTGATTCTTGCAACATGTTTTGGTGTTTGTTGGGCGCACAGACAATTCGGCCAAAGACAATTCAGCCAACTTGAAATTTAGACAATTCAGCCAAAAATAAACAGACACTTCAGCCTGAGACGATTCAGCCAGGCTTACAAAATGCTAGATTCGAAAGAAAATATCAGAATTGGAGCTATTTCTCGGTTTAAGGTCGCCGGTGGGCGCGCTACGCGCGCGTCGCCGCTTTGCGGCAATAACCGGTTCTAAATTTCGTTTTGAGTCCTTACCCTCCGGTGACAAGCTGGCAACACGGTGACGCGACATCGGCGGTCACTATTATTGGCTGAATTGTCTCTGGCTGAATTGTCTGCATACTTTTGGCTGAATTGTCTGAATTTCAAATCAGTTGAATTTCTTTGGCCGAATTGTCTGGACGCGGTTTCTTGATATCACTTCTAGTGGTCATCTTTTGCTATTGAATTGTTTGTTATGAGAGAAAGAAAACTGCTTCACAAGTAACATACTATCAAAAGCCAATTTAGATTTTCTGGATTAATTTTTCTGGATTATTGTTTCTGTAAAATAGTTTGATACCAAAAAATGCTGTTCTGCCAGAACTGCAAGTAGAAAAACAATTCCTGACAAAAAAACGATAAAATTGTTTTGTAATTGGTATTGAGACAAAAACAGGCCGAAACTTTTCAAAGAGTTGTCTTGGGACACTTTAAGGCTTGTTATTGATGATTAAATATGACAAAAAACTTTTATTACAATCAACGTTTAAAGATTTCAGAGAACGCTTCTTAACATTTTTTCATTTTGATTCTTGTATTTTGTAGCTTCAATGCTTGAAAATTTGTTCTGGATGATCATTCAAAATGAGAAAAAAAAAGATTTTGAATGGGATGATGTTTTGTTGACAAAAAAAAACGATCAAATTACTTTGCAATTGGCATTGAGAAAAAAACAGGCCGAAACTTTTCAAAGAGTTGTCTTGGGACACTTTAAAGCTTGTTACTGATGATTAAATATGACAAAAAACCTTTATTACAATCTACTTTTAAAGATTTCAGAGAACTCTTCCTAACAACTTTTTCAACCCATTACTGAAAGGTACATTTTCAAAGAAATTGATAATATAAAAAATTGGTTCAATGGAATTTCTATATTAAAATATTTGTGTGGAATCTTTTGATGTTCAGCGTTTTTTTGATGATGCGATGATAGTTCCGCATTTTTTAACGTTCTAGAAGAAAAAACTCCCAGGAAAGCTGACATCGGTATCCTTAAATTTGACAGTTAGCTCATGAGCAGAGTAGAGTCGTGACAACTCATTTCCAAAACAAGTAATTCGTCCTATCTTGAAGTTATAATCTAAAATGAGGCCTTGTAACTAAATTTTGATGCTAAAGATAAATCCAATTTGACTAATCAGATTCCAAATGTGTCAAAACAAGTGTCAGACCACCTCAACGCTCAAAATTAGTAGAAATACATTACAAGTTCAAACTGTGCACTGGATAGGCGCACAATTGTGTGTCTGTCTGTTTCTGGATTCCAGAGAAAAACTTCTAAACATGTTCCATGTTTCAAAATGTTGGTGGATTCCACTTACAACATTTTCATGGATTCCGCGTACAAATACCTGTGTCTTAAAATTTGTCGGAACATTTGTTTTGTTGCGGATTCCGCAACCAGCGAATAGAGTTAGTTTTTCTGGATTCCGCCAAATGTTTGTGGAATCCGCAAACGTTAGTGGAATCCTCAATCGTTTTTGCTGAGAAGGAAGTGTCCAGTTTGACATATCCTCTCAATATCAAATTCGTTTTTCATTAAATATTGTTTCCATTTGTCCAAACTCCGAGCTGTATGTCTTAAGAACAAACATTCAGCCCCATAATTATACAAATTTTTGATGAGAAGTCTAGAGAAATCTGTTAACTTGATCCAATTCGTGGCTCTATAACATTTCGAAACTAATGAAGACAATGCTTTTTTTGCAATGTTCTCAACCTACGTGGCAACTTTCTCGACAAAGAAAAACTCGTTTTGTATCGATTTCGAATGTTTTTTTTCCGCGTCATATGCAATCGCAAAACTGCTGCTTCTCGACTTAAAAATTTGATACATAAATCGAGTACTTCGACCCCGGTTTGTAGCAGAACCCAAGATTATAAAAGCAACTGTTTTTTTTTACATGAAATTTATTGATATGATTAATCTTGCAGCAAATTGAAACACGGCCAACGAATTCCACTTATTTTACTATTATATTGGCTGAATCATGTTAAAATGTTAGAAACTATCAGCTTTGTTTCAGATGAACTCATTTCAGTCTCTTTTGCTTTCCTCAAATGACATGAATATTTTCACATCTCAGAGCAGTTTTCAGTTCTTCTTGATATTTGCCATTCATTGTCCTCTCGTAAACATCAGCTGCCTGCATGAACAACAATTAACCTATTATTTCAAAGCCTCAAAAAACGTTTCGCGGATCGGGGGTCGGGGTTTGTTGAGATCGAGATATTTTGCTGATCTATTTCTGTCAAAACTTCATTTTTTTTAACTATCTGTTAAAAACATTCAAAAATTGCTGCAAATTTTATTCAGATTAATCTAACGCTTGGAAGATTTCACGTTGAAATTTCACTGTTCCCTGCTTCTTTTATTTGACAAAATATTTGACTCGCTACTGCGCTGAGATGCCTGACTTCAATATATCATGCGTATATCAAATCACAACTTGATTGAATTTTTTCGGATTTTTTTCTCTTCCAAGTTTTCGAAAAGACAAACCAAATTGACGTTGAAGCCGGATCGCCTCTTCAAATATTGGGGTGAGCCTTCAATTCTAGTGTTTAAGTTTTCAAAGAAGGATCTTTTGGGACCCGAAAAATGTCTTTAAAAAGAAACTGGCTAGAAATAAAGTTTCTTTTTTTTTAAATAATGTTCCGTTGTATCTGCTTTTTCTAGAATTTCTGCTTTTTCAATCGAAGGATGAAACATTCAAGAACATTGAGACTTCATTTATGTTTGGATGGAAATTGAGAATGATCTGTGGATGGGGTTTTAGAAAAGAAATAAAAAATTTTGATCCCCCACCTGAAAATACAGTTTGCTCTTTTTGCCTTTCTTCGCCTCCCCCTTTGGAAGATAGGAGACCACTTTGCCCCCCAGAGTGGCCCCCTGTCCCCCCGACTGCTCGGCAGCTTTTACACCCATCTCAAACAGCTGGGCAGTATCTTTACCGCCCACCTGAAACAAGTGCAAACTACAAAGAAAGTGACAAACGTTTTTGTGTACATGTATGAGACAAAATCATTCTCATCTCGGATCTTTTAAATCACTTCTTGATCTTTCAAAAAATAACCCCCAAGCAAAAATTGAGTATGCCGTCTTCCAGAAAAGGAAAAATTGTGCTGGGGTCACAATTTTTGGAATAGGACGAACGCAATTCCACCTTGCAAAAGGGGGGTTCGTTACTAAGATCACTAATTGTAAATGTTTAAACACGGAATTAGATCATTAAAGGTATTGGTGTTTGCTAGTAGTTACCATCAGGGGAGGAAGAATCCGTTTGTAAAATTTAAGCCCATTATATAAAGCGAAAAGTATTTTTGATGCTGCAATTGATCTAATCATTAGAGGTCATTGAACGATTTTGAAAAATTGACATCTACATTTTTTATCTTTTCAAGCTTTTTTCGGGCTTCAAAAGTATATATATTTAACCAATATATAGCTTTGACGTTAGAAGCTGAAATTACAATTAAATATTCAGGTATGAGAAACGAAAAAAGAGATTCGTGTTTGATACCAAAATTGAGGCAGTTTGGACCTTTACCTGAAGAGTAGACTTGTCCACAATCAACCCACCAAAGAGACCAGGTTCGACTCCATTGCAAATCTCAACTTTTATTGTCGTCTTTGACTCCAAAAAAGACACTTTTTCCCTTTCTAAGTTAGCCTTCAGCCAATCCACAGAGGGAACAGACCTCAAACTTTTGTTCTTCAAAGGCGGATCTCCCGCAAAAAGAGGAAGGAAATGAGCTCCTGAGTTGACGCACGAATCAGCGCCTATGAGGTCAACGACAGACCACCCGAGGAGGTGGTCGGGCCTGAGTGCGACGGGTTGCGGGCTGTTTTTCTCCGACAGTCGTCCCAGTTGGTTGAAGTCAGAAGGGGGAGTGTACTCCCAGTCTAAAGCGTGGACCATGAGAGCCTAAAATAGAACCTTCAAGAAATTAATTTGTTCATTTTTCCTTTTACTTGCGCCCCCGAACTCCTACTGCTCATTAGCATTTTCTGCTGATATTTGAACATTTTTAGCAGAAAAAAACTTGCATTTTGATGGAATCCAAATTACTCATTTCTCAGTGAATTTTAACGCGTAGGCGCCCGGGGCGAGGTCCGCGACTCGTGTTGCGACAAAAATGGGTCGCCTCGCCGATGTGGACTTTCTGCGACCGAAATTCCATCATACCGCAAGAGGGTTGAGCCGCACAAAAATGCAGCATAGCTAATTGGGGTCACGCAAAATCGCAATATAGCAAATTTGGGTCGCGCAAAATCACAACATAGCTGATTTGGTTCACGCAAAGTCACAACATAGCTAATTTGTGCAGTACAAAGTCGCAACATAGCTAATTTGTGCAGTACAAAGTCGCAACATAGCTAATTTGTGCAGTACAAAGTCGCAACATAGTTAAATTGTGCAGTACAAAGTCGCAACATAGCTAATTTGTGCAGTACAAAGTCGCAACATAGCTAATTTGGGTCGAGTAAAGTCGCAACAAATCTAAGCAGGGTCGCGCAAAGTCGCAATAGAGCTAATATGGGTCGAGTATAGACACCACATATCTGAACTGTGTCGCGCAAAGTTGCAACATGGGTCGCGCAAAGTCGCAACATAGCTAATATGGGTCGAGTATAGACACCACATATCTGAACTGGGTCGCGCAAAGTTGCAACATGGGTCGCGCAAAGTCGCAACATAGCTAACTTGGGTCGCACAAAATCGCAGCATGGGTCGCGCAAAGTCGCAACATAGCTATGTTGGGTCGCACAAAATCGCAACATAGCTAATATGGGTCGAGTATAGACACCACATATCTGAACTGGGTCGCGCAAAGTCGCAACATGGGTCGCGCAAAGTCGCAACATAGCTAACTTGGGTCGCACAAAATCGCAGCATGGGTCGCGCAAAGTCGCAACATAGCTATGTTGGGTCGCACAAAATCGCAACATAGCTAATATGGGTCCAGTATAGACACCACATATCTGAACTGGGTCGCGCGAAGTTGCAACATGGGTCGCGCAAAGTCGCAACATAGCTAATATGGGTCGAGTTTAGACACCACATATCTGAACTGGGTCGCGCAAAGTTGCAACATGGGTCGCGCAAAGTCGCAACATAGCTAACTTGGGTCGCACAAAATCGCAGCATGGGTCGCGCAAAGTCGCAACATAGCTATGTTGGGTCGCACAAAATCGCAACATAGCTAATATGGGTCGAGTATAGACACCACATATCTGAACTGGGTCGCGCAAAGTTGCAACATGGGTCGCGCAAAGTCGCAACATAGCTAACTTGGGTCGCACAAAATTGCGGCATGGGTCGCGCAAAGTCGCAACATAGCTATGTTGGGTCGCACAAAATCGCAACATAGCTAATATGGGTCGAGTATAGACACCACATATCTGAACTGGGTCGCGCAAAGTTGCAACATGGGTCGCGCAAAGTCGCAACATAGCTAATATGGGTCGAGTATAGACACCACATATCTGAACTGGGTCGCGCAAAGTTGCAACATGGGTCGCGCAAAGTCGCAACATAGCTAACTTGGGTCGCACAAAATCGCAGCATGGGTCGCGCAAAGTCGCAACATAGCTATGTTGGGTCGCACAAAATCGCAACATAGCTAATATGGGTCGAGTATAGACACCACATATCTGAACTGGGTCGCGTAAAGTTGCATAATGGGTCGCGCAAAGTCGCAACATAGCTAACTTGGGTCGTACAAAATCGCAGCATGGGTCGCGCAAAGTCGCAACATAGCTATGTTGGGTCGCAAAAAATCGCAACATAGCTAATCTGGGTCGAGTATAGACACAACATATCTGAACTGGGTCGCGCAAAGTCGCAACATGTGTCGCGCAAAGTCGCAACATAGCTAATTTGGGTCGCATACAATCTCACCATGGCTCACGCGAAGTCGCAACATAGCTAACCTGGGTCACACAAAGTTGCAGCATGGGTCGCGCAAAGTCGCAACATAGCCAACTTGGGTCGCACAAAGTCGCAACAAAGCTAATTTGGGTCGAGTAAAGTCACAAAATATCTGAACTGGGTCGCGCAAAGTCGCAACATGGGTCGCGCAAAAAGCAACATAGCTAATTTGGGTCGTATAGAGTCTTACCATGGGTCGTGCAAAGCCGCAACATAAGTCGCACAAAGTCGCAACATGAGTGACGCAGAGTCGCAGCATGAGTCGCGCAAACTCGCAACATGCATCGCGCAAAGTCGCAACACAGCTATTTTGGGTCGCATAAAGTCGCAGCATGGCTCGCGCAAAGTCGCAATATAGCTAACTTGGGTCGCACAAAGTCGCAACATATGGCTAATTTGGGTCGAGTAAAGTCACAACATATCTAAACTGGTTTGCGCAAAGTCGCAACATGGGTCACGCAAAGTCGCAACATAACTGATTTGGGTTGCATAGAGTCTCACCATGGGTCGCGCAAAGCCGCAACATAAGTCGCACAAAGTCGCAGCATGATTCGCGCAAACTCGCAACATGGGTCGCGTAAATTAGCAATGTGGGCCGCGCAAAGTCGCTACCCACAAAGTAATGAGTCGGGCAAACTCGCAACATGGGTCGCGTAAATTAGCAATCCGGGCCACGCAAAGTTAATTAACAATGTGGGCCGCGCAAAGAAATTCAAATTGTGCTTTGAATGTTGGAGTAAAGCATACATCATCTAAGACTGTAAAATTAATCCATGCTGATTAGATGGATGAAACAGAAAACGCAGCCGACTGTTATCTGACAATAGATCTGGAAGGTCCAGTACACCGAGAATCAATCAACTTTTTTTGTATGCTATCCAGTATAGGCTTGCTACCGATAAAGAGAGTAAAACTAACTAATCCAGGTACAGGCAAAACAATGGAGACTTGTGCATTACAATACAATGGGTCAACAGTGATTCAAATATACAAATCACAAAAAAATGTTGAAATTAGTTTAAAAAAGACTGCAAACGAGGGTCGGCTGGAGCTATTCGTTCAATAAGCATCGCGGAAACAGTAGCAGTGAATGTATCCATCAAGAGTCTCAAACCTGAAAACATAAATTGTTTGGTTCATCGTGATTTGTCTGTCGGGTCAATAAACCCCGATTGTAGTGTCTACAAAAGAAGGTATCAGCACTTACCAATTTCGTCAAGGCAGAAAACATCACACTCCAAAGTCAAATTAATAATTGATCAGGATAATTTTATTATGATGAGACCAATTGAAAACACAAGTCTGATCAAGAGAAGTCCATGTGAGGTGAGAACACCTCTTGAATGGGCACTAATTGGTCCATTGGGACAAAAGGAAGCACATGGTTGCAAAGCATGATCGTATTTCTATTCTACAGAGGAGCAGTTGGCTCAAAAGGTCAATAATTGGTGGCATATAGAAACCTATAAATCAGTGAAAAATGATGAATCGTTATCTAGGGAAACAAAACGAGCTCAGCATCTTCTACTAAGTTTGAAGGTAGTGGATGGGAATTTGGAGTTTTTTGGTCGGATGATCAATAAAATTTCCAAGCAACTATAAAATTGCCAAGGGGCAACTTAGGTCTTTACAAAAAAAGGCTCAGTAAAGATGATGAAATGAAAATAAAGCAACGAGACACAAAAAAAACTGATCTAAACCAAAAAAGATTCATAGAGAAATTGTCACAAAAAAACATAACCAACAATTTGAATGCCGGAAAATGCTATTTACCTCATCATTCAGTCTTTCATTCATACAAACTAGGGATAATCAGGAAAAACTGGGATTTTGAAATGGAGCTTCGAAGTATCAACGGATAATTTTGAATCAAGCGCGGATCTAAAATTTTCTCGAGGGCAGCGAATTTTCAAAAAAATTTCAAAAATTTTGCAGATTTTTGTTAGGTTGACCGAGTTGTTTTTTCGTGCTATCTCAAAAACTACCAAAACCCTTTTTTGGCCTAAATTTCCGCGCAGAAATTTTGATCTCATTTTCTAGGTACTTTTTGGAAATTTTTGACTAAAAAGTAGCGTTTTTTGGCATGCACTACCCCCTTTAGAAAATTTTTATAATCCGTGACCAAAAAAAGATATCCCAAAATAATACAAAAGGGGACCCTTTGGGTCCGCATGAGGTCAAATCCCTGAGGGAGGGGGCCTCCGCCAACCCCCCGTGAACCCGCCTCTGCTTTTAAGGATAAATTTTTACCTGGGCCAAATTTGTGCAGAAGCTTGCAGGAACCTTTCTCCAATTTCGCGAAGGAACAATTTCATCCACAACGGATTTGAGCAGATGTTTCATCAGGTCAAGTTGAAAAAAGAAGACAATCATTCTCTGAAAGTTTTGTATCAAGATATCGAAAATAAAAGCGACAAAAGAGTGATATACAAACAAAACAGACATATGTTTAGAGCCACAAGATCACCGAATTGTGCAATTTACGCACTGACCAAATCATTGGATAATGGATTTGTACACAAAATGTCGAATCTTTGTTATATGGAAGATTTTATGTACTCAAAATTGATAAAATAAAAGCCGACATCTTTAAATAACAAGTTGTTCAAAGTTTATTAAAATGGTTTCCAGCTGACAAAATTTCGAAGTAAATTTTCAGAGTTATCTGAAACACCATTGAAAAGGTAACGTCGATACCATGAATCAAAGTGAAATTAGAATCGGATAGTTTAGCAGTCTGTCGATTGAAGGATAAGAAAGGAAGAACAAGCCAGTCGAAATAATCTCACAAATAAATTTGCTTAGCGTTATTTCTTCACCATTCACTCCACCAGGACTATTGTCACCGCTTACCATTCGGATGAGAAACTGATTGAAAAATCTTTGAAAATCTGAAGTTGTTTAAAAGGACAAAGTTACGGAAACTTCTGCCGAAGACTATGAGTCTTGGAAAAAAGTACTAAAACAAATCAAAAACATCAAAATCTCAAGAA